GATGATCATGTTCTCCAGCATGATTTGAGATGATCCAAAGAGCATCCCGAGCTTCAATGGAAAAAGAACATCTGACCTGATCTGTCTGTACAAGAAGTTCACATGATGAACATCATAAATCTAGAAATAGAATCTGAAATATTTCTTATCCATTTTACATTATATAAGATTTATTTGTGTTATATTCATCAAAATCTTAAAGCTTTGATTTTATGAGTTTAAATAAATAAAAAAACACCTCAGATTTTCAAGTGGTCTCATACTTTTGGACCCCACTGTACATATTTAAGATGCACTTTGACTAGTGCGACTTACAGCTTGCACATATTGTTGTAGGTGTCACCAAGTTACATATAAACTCAACAGCATTCTATGAGGACCCTTCATGAGATACTGTCATAACAAATGCCAAACAGTGTATTGACTATGATTATATGAGCCGTCACGCTCAGCATAGCTGGGTAATGAGATTCATCTTCATTATATGTTCTTACATCCTGAGCTACTGCTTTCAGTACGTGAGCAGAGGTCCAAATTATGCTGAAATGTTGTACTCAAGTCGAGTTACTATTAATTCATAAGACGTCTGTAAAAGAGGCAGAACTAATATTGAAGCACTGGAATAAATATTCGAGAATATTCAAGAGTATTCTACAGTGGTCATGATACTGATGATATTGAAATGAAATAGAAACCATTAAACTGGTTTCAGAACAGTGCATGGTGAAGGATATTAGTTTTTAATTTACATTTTACACATTTGCCTGACATTTTCATCTATAGTGACCTGTCATGCATACATGGTATTCATTCAACTATAGGAATTTAGTTATTATTGTGAGTTAAAATTCCTAGCTCAAGAAGTACAGCATGGTGCAAACAATATTAATATCTTACATCTAATTACTTAATAATTTATAGTATCTATTAGTATTAACTCACTAACTATACATTTTTATATTGGGTAAAAGAATACATTAATTTAATTTAAAGGATTATATATGTACTTATTATATATTATAGTTAATGTCCCTAGCTCAAGTAGTATAGCATGGTGATAACAATATTAATATATTACATATTATTACATTTTTAAATTTATTTTAATTTGCATTATCATTGTTAAATGAATACAGGTTTATTTATTTTGTGTGTTAATATCACTAATTCAGCTATTGTACAGCATAATGATAACAATATTAATGCAATATATTTATTACATTTTTACATAGTTTTATTTTATTTTAATTCACACCTTTCGAAGTAGTAGCATGTTTCACATTTTATTTAAATTAAATCATATAAAAATATTTCAATTAAAAATATAGATCCAGAAAGCGAATACTAAAGACGGATGGATGGTGTACAGTAATGTTTTACAGTATAATGTACAGTATACAGTATAATGTTGTACACGTATATTTTCATTTGCATATGGTAATGAATACATTTTAAGGTAAGGAATAACATTACAAGCTCTATAGAAGCTATTTTAAAATACTGCCAATTGAAAATATGAATCCAGGAAAAATCTTCTTTAGCACAGACATTTGAGCCATTCTAATCCGTTACCTCAGACCATAATAAGGGGAATAACACTAGCTGCAGCAATGGAACACATCTGTTTCACACAATCATAATCTCCTGCACTAGTGCTAAGTAGATTCAGTGCGATCATAACATGCTTTCTTCCCATAAATGTAAATCCACAATTTGCAAATGTAAAACAGACATTTTTGAGTTATTAGATAAAAAAAACAAGTGCATAGTTGCCCGTTTCATCCACCAGCGATCTCCACAACAGCCACGTTTGGATGGCCATAAAAAAATGACTAAGTTCAATGATAATTGAAAGAGCAATAGAGAGCCTTAGAGTCTCTTATGCTGTAATGCCATGAGGGACAAAAGCGCCAGTCTCTTAATCAGCTCTTCTGGAGGAGCTCCTGAACATTAAAAATCATCAGTGAAATTACTGAAAGAGTTTCAAGCAACTGCCATGCTTGATCCTCTGAATCAGGGTGGTGAATAGGTGCTTCAGATGATGCCCTCTTACCCACGGGCTGGACTCAGCTGCCCTGCTGCCAGCAAAGACCCCTAATGAGCCTCTGCAATTAAGCCGGTTTATTCAAGCTAAGTGTGAACGGGGTGCGTGTGGAACCGTAGGCAGCTAACAGACCTGGGCTCTTTGTGCCACAAGTGCTGCTTTCATTCAGCTCACAAAGCAGAAAACAACACCCGCACCTTTAATGGCGAAGACTTTCCCCCTCACTCGGTCGCGACTTGACAGAGTGGGTGGGGTTAAGACAGAGTGACAGCGGGGCCCATCTCTATCCTCTTATTAACGCTTAACGAGTGCCTTCCTCATGCAATATTCATCGCCACTAATATCATCCAAGCTCTGAGCTGAGCTGGCTACTTATGTAAGGCAATTATGTAAAATATCAGACAGGGCCCACACTCAGAATCTGACTGGGGTAGAGATACGGGACAAGAACCGAGAGGAGGAAGAACTGAAAGTGAAAGAGAGCATGACAGAGGAGGACGAAGGTCAGGATGTTTCACAGCCAGGGTTATTATACTAAAACTAAAACCATTATGTTACTTGAAATAAAACAAACTTGAACTGAAATAGAATATAGAAAACTTATTTTATTTCAGCTAGTTGCCAAGGCAACATTTCTCATTTTCATTTAGTTTAACGTGATGTACTAAAATAACTAAGACTAAAACTGAAATAAAATGAATAAAAACTATATATAAATGACAAAAACACACAACAAAATTACTAAATCTCTGAAGAAATATTCCACATAAAATTTTTAAACTTGTCACCATTTACTCACTCACCCTCATGTCATTTCAAACCTGTATGACTTTCTTTCTTCTATGAAACACAAAAGAAGATATTTTGAAAAGTGTCAGTAACCAAACAGTTTTGGTTCCCATTGACTTCCATAGTATTTTTATTTCTATACAGTGGGACCCGAAACCATTTGTTTACCAACATTTACTAAAACAACTTTTATGTTCCACAGAAAGAAAGTCAGTCATACAGGATTCAAATGACATAATGAATGACAGAATGATCATTTTTGGATGGATTATTGCTTTGGCTCAAATTAAAATGCAAGCAGAAAATATACAAATAAAAACGAGTTCAAAATCTTAATAAATTATACTAAAATAACACTGGTCGCAGTCACATTGCCATCCATTCCAGAGCACCCGATTGAGTCAAGATTACCAGAGAATGCTTGGCCTTCACTGTTAACCCGAACCCAGAAATGCACAACAATCGGCGCTCTCGAGATGATCAAAAGGTTAACAAGTTTGAACACATCTGCCCACTCGCCCATCTCCAATGATCTCCTAAGAACTCATCAGCCAAAATATATATAATTGTGTATATTACTCAGAGTAGACACGTCGAGAAAATGCTGTTTTTCTGATCTGCATTATAGTGCATTTGCCCGCCAACGACAATACCACCCACTCTGTACCTCTCTGACTCCTGATGCCTGATACCTGTGCTGTGACTGTCTACAATCTGCATAATCACAGAGAACTTCTGCTGAAGACGCGCGCACACACAGCGCTCCACTTCCACAAGGTCACCCAAGGCCGATGCGGATGTATGTGAGTTTCAGTGACCTGTGGTCTCCAGCGCGCACATAAACAGACTAAAATAAACACATCCTCTTGTGGGAATGACATCCCCCTCACACCTCATCGGCTAAAGCGTACATTTCCATAAGCCTACATGCTCTGCAACCATCTCCTCCAACTTCACCCATTGGAGACTCGCACCTATGAAAGTGCCAACGACATCCGTGTAACAGAGATACACCGAGCGCGCTCCCTCAGGTCAAGGCCCTGTGGGGGTCTGTGCAGAAATAGGTCATTTGTCACACATCAAGTCCTGGGGCAGGAGATGCATTATAGATGAGACCAAACAGCCTGTCTCAGTGAGCTCTACCCACTCCCTGAGACTGGAAACGGGGGGAAGGGAGCTTGAGATAACAACCGCTGCAATCAGTGTGTGTCGATGTTTAATATCAGCTCCAATGAGCAACAATAAGCAGACATGTGCATTCATTCTCAAGTCTCTGATTTTAGGTGTCGCTGGACATTATGTCAATGACATTATACAACAACATTAATAATGCATGACATCTATATGACATTGACAACCAAAATGATGTCTTAATCCATATTGTAAGCATTGGCCTGTGTGTGATTATGTAACATACGCATTCAACACACACCTGACATGATAATATGGTTGAATAAGTACGGGCAGGTATTCAAACAGTGGGCTGTGTTATGACCTTCACACAGTAATGCCTTCGCACAGCCATTCTGCCTGTGAACAAACGCCGGACTCATTCACGGCATTCTTAGAAATGCAACGCGTCAGACTGAGAAGATGGAATTTGTGAAGAAGAGCTGCGCTGCAAGGACAAATAATCAAGAAAGGAGAAAAACGAGGCTTGAGTAAGGGGATGAGAGAGATAGAGTGAGGGGTAAAGAGAAGGAGAAAGCATGGCTCCTGTCTTTTTCTGCACCCATCTGTTCGGAGTGCAGGTGGAGCTCTATTCACTCAGCGCTGCATGAGTGTTGGGGGGGTGGCGGCTGGAAGAAAGGGAGGGCAAAAGGAAGAGTGGAGAGATGGTGGAGGGTGGAGGGACGGGGGGCTCTCGGTGATCTCTCCTGAAGGGGATAATGGGAGAGGAGCGCATTGCAATGGCTGCCATGTAGTACCCTCCCTGCACAATTAGCCAATCAGCAGCAAGCTCTGCCAGCCAGAAGGACACATAAAAGAAGAACATTGCAGCAGAGACACAGAAGGAGCCTGCGAGGAGCTGGGAAATACACAACAGCAGAACCACAACACCCTCCCCTGGACACACCCTACTGAGGATCACTGCTTCTCTTTTTTTCTGAACCATCGCCCACGCCACGCGGAGAGAAATCTCTCTCTCATCATCGTCCTGAAGAAAACCCCCTTCTCCTCTTTTTCACACTGCTGAGGAAACCTACAATCGCACGGGCTGAGCTTTCCTGCCGAAGACTGTCGTTTTTCCTTTTTCTTTTTTTTTCTTTTCGTTTGGAAACTGACATTTGCGATTCTCGAGCCACGCCACGGCGTAATATCTGCAAGACGGCCTGAAGACCTGCGAATTGAAGGACCTAGATCACTATCATCTTTGTACATCAAGAATGGTTACTGTAAGTATAACCCTTTTTCGGTACCCTAATCTCATGACAAACAATAACAGCATCACCACAAAATAAATTTTAACACTTAAAATATAGGGTATTTAAATACAAGCTAGCCAAAACATACACACAGCATTTGGTCAAACATACTGGCACATCTAATTCCGTAAACAAGATGAACGATTAGCCCAGGGTATAAGTAATGTGATACAGGCATGCATGAGCATCGCTACAGACGAGCTCGCTTGGCTTTCTGAAGAGAATCAAAACAATGCTTTCTCCTGCCGTACTCGTCACAAATCGCAATACGTAAAACCCTTCGCAACATACATTTATTCCTACATGCGCTAATTAAACGCATTCAAGCGATAATTAGCCATTGTTAACAAAGAGCGCTGAGGAATTCCTCAGAAATAGCTGAGGTGCGGCGGAGGCAGAAGGGCGTAAGAAGGCACATGCCTCGCTCGGAAAGGATGCTCGAGACTGAATCTCGGAGACAAAACACGATGCCTCGGAGGCTGAGAGCCCATCGAGAGCAAAGGCAAATAAAAGGGTCGAGTCACTCAGAGGGGGAGGGGAGATATTATGCATCCCTTGGTTTGGATTGAATCAGGCAGGACGAAATTCCTAAGGCTTGGGACGCTATATTAGAGACCGCGAGAGAGGAAAAGGTGAGAAGTCATGTGATGTATGGGAAAGGCTAAATATCACACATTTCTAGCGATATCTTAGCGAGTTGCGCTTTTTCCTTTTCCTCTCCAAAAATATAAACACACCGAGAGTGTAAATAAGCAATAGGAGGGGAATACAAAGGCCTTGAGGGAAAGCGTTTTGGGCGTGTCTTCTCTAAAAGAAGACAGCGATGCTGGCACTCGCACAGAATCACCATCTCCACGTACAGTTTTCTGGGTGAAAACATTTACAGAACAGCTTATTTGAATACAAACAGGTATTTGAAACGGACCCGCGGGCGACTGTTTAAAATGTTAAGATTAATTAATGACGTTAAATTCTTCAGGTCTGCTCTACATGACGCGTAGTATTGTCAGGATGACCGTCTTTGTTTCTTGTCCGAAAGAGGCGTTTAGTATCACTCTTGATGATACTAAACGCTGGATTCGTTATAATGGCGACTCGTTTAGTAATAATTCATTTGAACACTTTTTGAAAATGACACTAAACCTTTGGCAGCCACACAGCATTTTGCGTTTGAGGTTAGAGGCCTCTGGTGCTGACAAATATATTTATTCGTCTGCTGTGAAGGACAGCCTGCCTTGTTTTAGACTGACCTCAAACAAACGGCGATACGAAACGACGCGCTTCTCTTTCATTTGAAGTCTCAGTCGATGGTGTGATGAATGAATGACGGGCCCTTCCTTCGGCGTGTTGTTCCGCAGTCCTCCGTGAGCACGAGCCTCTACCGCAGTGCCAAGCTCATAAAACCGTTGAGTCAGATAACCTTCTCCAGGCGCGAATACGCAATTCAAGGACAAGGACATCACAACGATACACAGCACAACACAACACAACCGTCTGAACACACGAGCTCGTCATTAATTGTGAATAAAGAGGGTTGCCAATTAAAGAATAAGACGGCGTTAAAACAAAAAAACAAACACGTTTGACAGTAACTTGTATACGGTCAGGCCGTTGCGCACGTTAAAGGATCACCAGGCCTCGTCTATTGTGAATTTAAACGGTGATTATTTTGAACAGGTGCAGTACAGAAACTAATTTTACAGACAATAATAATCAAATTATAACTGCTAAATATTAAGACCAGGCCATTTAAGTATGGATTTCGGTTAAGAAAAAGAAACTGTCAACTACCTAGAACGGAATATTATACCGTTGTTAGATATGCAGTTGTTATTAATTAGCTAGAGGCATTTCCTCGATGACATTATTTAAATGTACATTTTTTAATTATGGTTGCTATTATTGTAATTATTATTATTTTTAAATGGTCTTGTAGAATAGAGTAAAAGTGAAGACAGTTGCAATGTTCATTGTTCCCGGAGAGTCCCGCAGCCTCTGTCCTCGACACAAAGCGCTACTGTTTACATTAATATTCATAGTGCTGCCATGGTCTCTGTAGAGGAGGAACGGGTGGCTCTTTTGTTCGCTCTTGTCAATACGTTTGTTTATTCAGCAAAAAGGAGCTCGGATTTGTGAATGCCCACAGAGCACACGCGCACTTGTCCAATCAAAGGACGAGAGGATAACGAGTTCAAACGATTCGTAAACGTGTTTATTTGTGAAGACGACATCAAGAGCTTAATGCCCACTTGATAAAACGGAGCCCGCGGCACCAAGGATATTTTGTAGGTAGTTGTGCATGTTGAGCCACTCCCGAATTCAGCACTCTGGATAGCGACCGAACAGGAATAGCCTACCGGAATAGCCTACTGCTGGCGCCTTTTTTTTCTCCCGTTAAACGTTTCTGGCGTTCTTGTAGGCTTATAATAATTTACATAAAATGGCAAAAAAATACAAAAATAAATACTTTTTAAATAAAACAACGCTATTTGGGGAAATACAAGAGAGACTTGTTGTATTCGCGTGATAAATCAATTATCTTTCGCGCTGCAGATTTTTTCACGAGTGAAATTAACCCAATTCACCGACAAAATTAAATAACAAAGAAAGGGTTTATCCGTTCCGTTTTGACTTGTGTCCTGTTGTTTTACAGCTGCCACTGTGATCCCTTAAACTGCAGTGAGAGTGTGGCTAATGCCTTTTGTTTAGGATAATCCTGTAATCTGTTACTGAAACAGCCTATTGGCAATCCAACATTCCCTTTTCAGTCAGGAGGCCCGTCCAGACACGTGCGTTTATGAATTACAAATGATAAAATTAAAGTCTGCATTAGGCGTCAGAAATGTCACGAGCACAGATTAATTTTCCAACGTTTACAGATCATGCTGGGAATCGCTACAATGGCAGTCTGCAAATTAATGTTGACATGTTACATACAGCTACAGATTAGATCAGCCTGATGCTTTATTTGTTTACCTCGCTGGATCTTGTGCGAGGCTGTGTTTATTTTAAGAAAATGGCTCCCTCACTGCACAGGGACATTAAGGAAGTGACGTGAACCGATAGTCTTCACAGTCTGATTGCTTTTGATCTCATGCTGCTTTCAGGCCTGTTTTTTAAAAAGCATTATCTGGCATGATGCGTTTAACATAGTAAATGTATTTTAATTTATTGTAATATTTTAAAGTCATCTACATTTTTATTGAAGTCAGTCTCATCAAGAAAAAAAAAATGACGGCAGCTATACCATGTGGCTTTTCTATAATATAGCTATGTTTTTTCTTACATTTGTATATTGTGACATTCAACAGGACAATTTTCTAAAACAAACAAACCAAAAAAAAGTTTGACAAGGCTTGACGATCATTTCTGCAGACTCTAATTACAGACTCACTAAGAGGAATCTTTGCAGTCATTTATCCTTATCAGCGCGCTGATATGAGATTTTGCGTATGAGATGCAGGGCTCTTGTTTGCGTGTGAGTCTGGACCCTTGTGTAGGCGGTGCTGATGCAGTGCATTAAATATTAAGGGAGAACTCTCCTAGAAATAGAAAAGTACAGGCTGGGACGGGAATGTCAAAGCCCGCTCTGTGGCCACATTTTGTTTCGTAAGGCCTATTTTTAATAGCGTACATTCAGGGACAGTTGATAAGGTGTGTGATGTTTAAGCAGTGCAGTGGAAGGAACTCCAGCAGTAAGCAGTCTCTCGCCTGTCTCTGTGAGTCATGTATTTTGGGATGAAGTGCTCTTCCACCTCTACCTCTGCTGTGCTGGTGCCAGTATCTGGGCTGTAAGATAGTGTACGTGTCAGTCTGTGTGGCCGAAGAGCCTGTGCGTTGTGTAACTCACTACATTCATCGCTGAGGATGGGTAGCTTGCCATAGGGAGGTTTACTTCAGTTCACGAATCACATTTGCCCTGATCCTGTCACTTTGTGTCAAGACTCACTCTGTTTGTGTCAACGCGTAGACAGTGCTTGTTTGAGTAGGTTTGAGTATGATATTTCCCAGGCTATACAGGCTATGGGCTACTGCCCAAGCAAAAGATGCCATTTTATTGCCATTTGTGATCAAACGAACACACTTTTCTTGGAAATTCCTGCTCGGGTGACAGTGAAATTGTCAGTTTTGCCTAGATCCATGTTTGCAGTGCTTTAATAACTCAGCTCTCTGAGCTTTCTCCTTGTCAGTGTCAATTTGGCTGAGATATAAATTCTGGCTGCCCCGAAAGCTTATTTTATTAATGCAAGACAAAAAGTGATTTTAACCGAGTGCTCGAACATGCACACATACATGCGAGGTTTGCTAAAAGTCAAGAAGCCAGCCAATAGCAACAGTCGTCAAGCTGCTGTTACCTGGGCAACCTGGTTAGAGGTAGGGCTCAAGGCAAGAATAAATCATTCCACTGAAGAGACAGAGCATTACAGAGAGATGAGAGTAAGAGGCAATACTGAAGGGAGAACAAAGGATCAGACTTCCCACACTACTATAAATTCTCCTGTGCAACTGAACGTAAATTTTTAAATAAAGTGCTTAATTAGATATCAGATACAATTTCATGTATTTCCAATTACATTCCTGGAAGGATCATAAAAACAAAGAGCGACACTTGTAGCATATCATTCTGCCTGTTGATCGTGGGACTCCAACAAAAAGATCACGGATGCATTGTTAATTAAGTTGGTGAGACACCCTGTTCCACCCCAGGGGCCGTTCTGGGGAAAGAGTGCTTTCAGTCAAATAAGGATGACTAATACATGAACATACATTACATACGCCAATTTGTAAATTCTGGAGAGTAGCAGCCTTGGGAAAAATACAAAGAAAAAAAAATTACAAAAGAGATAAAAATGACAGATTGCTTTTGGTACGGTGCAGAGCAATGGCTTTGAGAACTCCAGTCGTGCGTTGTGACAGAAAGGGACCGTTAAAGACTGAAGTAGCGTCTACAACCTGCATACATCTGCTCTTTGAAAATCCCCTATAGGCCAAATTAAGCATCATGTTGCGCTCCACAGCAACACGGATGAACCGAAGACCCAGACACACACGCACACTCACGCTTTTCACATAAACAAGGTGCCAACGCCATCTTCTGATCTTTATTTGTCTGAACTGCATTTTCTTAAAAGGAAATTTTAACAAATTAGTGCTAGCATTTATGTGTACTTTCATGCCCATCCTCTTGGAGGCTTGTGATGTAACGCTGTTTGACCCTGGATAGCATAAAGGGGGCTGGGAAAGAGTGAAAGGACTGTGACATCTGCAGGGCCAGGGGCTGATGGAGAGAGTTGAAGTGAGGGAGGAGGTCAGAGGAGGAGGGGAGGTGGGATATTGTTCTCCTCCGGCCCTCTACCACTCAGACGCATTGATTTTTAACCTCTCATCCAGGATGCAAAGCATTACGCCCCTCAAATTATGCGTTTTCATCCAAACTACACCATCTTAGTGTAATTTGTCATTTTTCCACCTGCAGATAATTAGCACCATGGAAACTCAGGTGTCCAATGGTCCGAGCGGAACCAGCCTGCCTAACGGCCCTGTCATTAGCACTAATGGCGCCACAGACGACAGCAAAACCAACCTGATCGTCAACTACCTGCCTCAAAACATGACCCAGGAGGAGTTCAAGAGCCTTTTCGGCAGTATCGGAGAAATCGAGTCCTGCAAATTAGTCAGAGACAAGATTACAGGTAACCATGTGATTTTGTCTTGATTCTGTAACGAATATTAGCATTAAAGCACCCTTTTCCAATGCGTTCTCGTTCATATTATTGCAGGCCAGAGTTTGGGCTATGGCTTCGTAAACTATGTGGATCCTAACGATGCCGACAAGGCCATCAACACGCTTAACGGTCTCAAACTGCAGACCAAAACAATCAAGGTAAGAGAAGCTCATGAAGCCCACGCTCTTCAATCACTCGATGGGGAGGAAGTAGAGAAATAAAGCAGAGCCCAAAACAGACGTGACAGCAGGAGGGGGGGAGAATGGGAGGGGCAGGGGAGGAATTGGTGGTGGGGACAAAAGGAGCAAAAGAAAAGAGAAAGTGGAGGTCAGAAAGCAAAGGGTTGTGCACAGAGGTGATTGTGATGGAAATGTAATTAGGGAGACGCAATGTGAGGCTTGGAGGTCAACACGGAGAGCCCCATCTGCCTTCAATCTTGGCTAATTAGGGCCTTCTTTGTCCCCAATTCAGCTGGGTTTTGGGGTGGGGAAAGGTCTGCCTGGGCTTCTGAAAGCGAGTGATTAAACAGTCGGTCTGCTCCTCCACCTGATCACCACACATCAAAGCCAAGGCAAGAATCAGCAGTTAAGCAGCTTTAGCAGACTTAGCGTAGGTTTGCATGTGCTTATATTGGGGATATGCATGTAAATCATATGATAGGCCAAGATGACCATGTTTCATATCAGAGCAGTTTCATTCCCTAGTCTAATTTGAAACCGTAACACAGTTATTTGGTGAATAATGACTGCAGTCCATGGGCAAACATTATTGGCATAGTTATTTTAACAACACAGAGTCCGACTGCTATTGTCCTAATCGTCTTGTTTGTTCAGTGCATTCATCCAGCTTTGCCACTGTTCTCTGACATTCAACGTTCGTGTGCCCACTGCCCTCAAATCCTTAAGCTGGGCAAATGTCATATTTTCCATGTCAATACAGCATTGTTATAAAGGTAGAGAGCCGATAGCGAGGATGGAAGGGAGGGCGTGAGCGAGGGAGGGAGACGGGGTGCAGGAGCAAAGGCTAGGAAAGAGCCAAATGCCAATGACAGGATTAGGGGCCATTTGGGCTGCAGGCACCATCTGTACTGTGGGAGAGACAGGGAGAGGGTTAATTATGGGGCAGCAGCCCATCCCTCCAATACATCTCCCCCCTCTAGTCTCTGCTGTACACTCACCCACTCACTGCACAATTACACCCCTACCTCAACAATACCGCTGCTTAGTCATACTGGCCTGCAAGACACAAACACACATATGGTGGAAAAACACATCATTCTGCCAAGGTCTCATGGCGAAACATGCAATAACTTGGTTGGGCGTCATAAAATGGCTTGAACACATTTAAAATAGACTCTTGTTTATGATAAAAACAAGTTTACTTGCTTAACTTTTTTTTTTTTTTTTTTTGTAATCGCTTACATAAAGGTCATCAGATTCAAATATGCCAATGTGTGTTGAAAAAAATGAAATGAAATGCTTTGTTATAGAGCCCATTATTGAAAAAAAAGGTTACAGACAGAAATAAATTCTTTCTTCTCTATTTATAATTTATTTAAATTATATAAATATATGTAAAACTAGTAAAAAAAAGAGTATTGGTAAAAAAGAGTATAAGGCTATATGGTGCTATAAATGTTTAGAAAAATTATAAAAAGTACGTATTGTATTATATATGCAATATAAAGTTAATTAAATTATATATTAAAACAATATATTAGTAAATAAGTATAAAAAAAAGAACATTGGTAAAAAGACTAAGACTATATGGCAATACAAAAAAAATACAATATATATTATATTACATTATTACTAGTAATTAGTATTGGGGAAAAGGCTATAAGTCACTATAAATGTTAAGAAAAACAACAAAAAGTACATTATATTATATTATTATGTATATAAAGTTGATTCAATTCTATATACATAAAAAGTGTATTTGTGAATTGTAAAAAAATTGTAAAAAGACTAAGATTACATGGCAATATAATTTGTTTGAAAAATATATAATGTATATATTATATATGCAATATAAAGGTAAATCAATTATAGATCACAAATAAAAAATAAATTAAATAATACAAATTTAAGTTCTAGATAAAACATGCCCATGTATAAATGAGAAGTATTAATTGTATGTGTAATACTGTTGAACAGAAACAATCATACTAGAATATTCCAGACTTTTCAGAAAGTGAGTGCGTCACATTTCCATTAGCATGAATTGGTATTGTGCTTTTTTATTTTATTTGCTTTGTTTGGTTTTTTTTTCATGGGGTATTTTGTGAGGACATGTGTTGGGGAGTTGTCAGGGACGCTGGACATCTTGTAATCTGTTTACTTGATTCGCTGGTTGCCAGAGGAGCAGTTTCCCCTTGAGAGAGAACACAAAGGAGAGATGGAAGAGAAGGAGGGGCCAATCTCTTTTTCTCAAAAAACCACATGCGCGCACACTGACACCATCAATCAAAGTCAGCCCCTTTCAACCAGAAACTCATAAATATACGTATTTTATGAGAAAAATCTGTTCGCATCTCAAATACAACCAAGACGTCTTGGTGGGGGATTTTTAGGAAATATAGAAGGGAATATAAAAATGAGATCAATATTTGAACGTCAAAACAAATGCCTAATTGGACTTGATATTACATGACACGTCCCAAAGCGGAACAGGTTCTAAATACTGCTGTCTTGTGGAAAATCACAGCTAGAATAACAGCCCATGATATCAAATTTTCCTCATGACTCCCTGAGGGAGCTGGTCTCAAATCAGCACAGAGGGTGTCGATGGATCTGGGGGGTGAATGTGAGAGTGGGTTCGTGTTTCTGCTGTCAGGAGCAGAGTGAAGCTGAAGTAGCGTTTAATAAGGGAACCGGGTTTGGTTCGAGTGAAGTGCGCATAAGAGACGTGGATTTCAAGGAAGGAGGGATGAGAGAGAGTGGGCGGATGTCTCTCCTTTGAGTGTGGCAGTGCTGTGACATATCTGCTTCGACTACACTTGAAAGTTTGCACTGCTGGGAGTTTTAGGATTGTCACAGCTGTCTTGATGCATGCTTCTTAATATTTCTATTAAAAGAAATCCTAAACTGCAGCTCGTTGTTTTGTGTGTGTGTGCGCGCGATGTAGGTGTCCTATGCCAGACCAAGCTCAGCTTCTATACGCGATGCCAACCTGTACGTGAGCGGGCTGCCCAAATCCATGAGTCAGAAAGACATGGAGCAGTTGTTTTCCCAGTATGGAAGGATCATCACCTCACGCATCCTGGTAGACCAGGTCACAGGTAAACGTTACCTCACTTCCACAAACAGCGTAGGCACCCTGGGGGAGGATTAAAAATCTAATTAAAGCTCTGGATGTGATGCAAAATAGCAACAAAAAAAAATGCTTCACAGTCAACATGAAACCAAAATGGACCCCCCTTTTCTTTTTTTTATTTTCTTTTTTTTAATTTTTAATGCACATTCCTGGCAGTTTTATTTTGATATTTTGAATTAATTTAATTTCAGTCACAGTTTTAGTAATAATTTATGTATATGTTATTATTATTTTTTAAATATGACTATATATTTTGTATTAATTTTAGTTTCAGTTATTTTGGTATGTTAGGTTAAACTAAATGAAAATGATAAATGTTTTCCTGGCAACTAGCTTAAATAAAAGTTTTTTATATTTTATATTTTAATTTGGATGGATGGATGGATGGATGGATGGATGGATGGATAAACATTATGAGCAAAACCACAAATCCTTTGGAGATAAAGGGATTAAATGGATAAAATGAATTAAATAAAAAATACAAGGCAGATCAAATTAAAATTAAAACTACAACCTCAAAAAAATTTTAAATTAAAGAATAAAAATTTATATTTAAATATACAAGTATGCATTATTCATCTGTGCATTTGAATAAAAAAAAATCTAAATGTCAAAAACCATTTGTCCTTTTTCATTGATATTAATAACATTGTGTTAATCAAAAGCCAACTTCCCAATGCATAAAATCAAATCCCGCTTCGCTGAGAAATGTGTTACAGTATGGAAATAAAATGGTTTGCATTGAAAATAGTTATAATTTTTGTCTACTTTGTAAAGTAGATCATAAAGTACTAAAGTATCTAGTCTGGTTTAACCCTGTGACCACATAACTCACTTATCTGCCATTCATTTGTGTGACGGTGCTAACATTGCCTTGCTTTCTGTCTGGAGCAGGTATATCGCGCGGAGTAGGCTTCATTCGGTTCGACAAAAGAAATGAGGCCGAGGAAGCCATCAAAGGCCTGAATGGTCAAAAGCCGCTGGGCGCCGCCGAGCCCATCACCGTGAAGTTCGCCAACAACCCCAGTCAGAAGACGGGACAGGCCTTGCTTACCCAGCTTTACCAGACAGCTGCTCGCCGCTTCACAGGCCCTCTGCACCACCAGACTCAGCGCTTCAGGTACTGCTCCCACCTGCAGCCCTCACCCCTCACCCCTGCCACTCCCTACTCTTCCTCTGCCGGTTTTCACGTTCACGCCATCAGGGGGATTTCGACAAATCCCAACGGGTCTAACTGAGACAGTGCGTACATTTTTAAAAGAACTGCCCTGCTTAGAGATAAAACACTGCATGTGACTCAGTCATGGCATGGATGCATTCACAAGCATTCATCGCAGTACTCTCAATCCATCGCCTGAGGGCTCTGTAAGCATTGCATTGGGCGAGCCGCTGCCTGCTGATTGGTGGATGCAGTGCCCAGTAAAGAGCTCCCCCTGGTGGCTGAAGTGGCTGCTTGAAAACGCTTTGCTCTTGTTGTTGGATCTTGCAACTAATATCTTCACCTCCGTCACTCTCCCTCTTGCATTGCAGACTCGACAATTTACTAAACGCCAGCTACGGAGTCAAGAGGTAATTTCCGAAAAAAGGTGTCCTTTCAAAAGCATCCATGCCTAAACAAGCTCAAACAAAGTACCCGGAATACCACCTGCTGACTTAAGCATTAACATTACAGATGAGATTTGAGAAAACACTTGTTTCAGTAGAGTAGATTGATGTAGCTGATATCACAGCAGGACATTCTGGCATGGCTTTGTTGAAACTTTTTGTTCTTTTGGTTGATTCCTTGATTGAACTGATTTGTATGTATTTCTGTATTGAACTAACATTATTTATTTTTTTCAGTTTTGGTTGCGTTAATGTCTTTTTTCCACCAGCATGGACATACAAGATTCCTTTTGCGTCTCCTCTGTTCGTTCCAATTTTCCGTTGATTTGTTTCTGATTTGCCTTCATCCCTCTCTAGGTTTCTGTTTTGCTAAGTATCGTGATTTTGTTGGACATTGTGAATTCTGTGTCCTATTTCAAACAGGGACTAGAGTTTGGCTTGGTCATCCTAGTTAATACAATAGTTGCCCATTTTCTTACCTACTTAAGGCTGTGGAGATCGAGTGTCCGGTCCTCAAAGAGACAAAAATGGCAGGAACATGTGGTAATGAGAAGCACGCTGTGCTGAACTTCAGAATGACACCCATGGTAGCTCTCCTTCTTTCCTCCCCAGATTCTCCCCTATAACCATTGACAGCATGACCAGTCTAGCCGGCGTCAACTTGACCGGACCCACCGGAGCCGGCTGGTGCATCTTCGTCTACAACCTGTCCCCAGAAGCCGACGAAAGCGTCCTGTGGCAGCTCTTCGGGCCATTTGGCGCCGTCACAAACGTCAAGGTCATCCGTGACTTCACCACCAACAAATGTAAGGGCTTTGGCTTTGTCACCATGACCAACTACGACGAGGCAGCCATGGCTATCGCCAGCCTCAACGGCTACCGCCTGGGCGACCGCGTGCTGCAGGTCTCTTTCAAGACCAGCAAGCAGCACAAGGCTTGAAGGAAGGCCTAGTCACTACTGCTCTTTAACATGCAGGGGGAGCTACTGAGCTCCCTGTACATTCACTCTACATGGGCCTGGACTGAGTCTCTCTCTAACACACATTCGACACACACACACACACACACGTTTAGTTGTTTTGAGCAAAAATACACGAGTAGAGTCATTTTTCTTTTCTCTTTACACAACATGCTAGTCCTTCCTAACATTTGCCTGCATTGAATTAGCAGAGTTGTGAGGCGGGGCTGGGCTGGGGAAATCCATGAGGAGGGACAGTCTAATGAATGTGACAGAGAATGTCTGCAGAGATTTAATTTAATTCAAGCAAAGAAAGAGAACTGGTCAATGAAAGGAAAAAAAGTAAATCAAATATGTGCAATTTACCTAAAAATCTTGCCCTGGTAACTCTCCTGTCTGGCTTCAGAGGATGTAGTCACTTTTTTACACTTGGGCATTTTGAATCAGTGATTTTTTAAAAAGAAAAATTATTAAAACAGTGTTCTCGTATATATATTATGATATAACTATATATTCAACATTTAAAGTGGTTATAATAGCCAAATATGTAAGCATTTTCTAGAACTTTGATTACGGTTTCCTGGCTCTACATTTGGTTGCAACCTTGCCTTATGGCACCACACACACCTTACTTGAGATCTAACCCAACAGCCACTGAACAAACTGTGTGGATGGTAGTCACAAATCGAGAGGTCACCCGGGGGCCATCACTTCAGCACACTGAAAGACAACATTCATCACAGAGACACTCGCACATACATGCACATGCACATACGCACCTCCACCGGAGGGCATAGCAAAACATCACAAAACATGGCAACCTAGAATCTCCTCATATCTTTCCACTCTGAGTTTTATATAGTTAGAATTTAGAATCAATTCCACCACATGCAGTTGTCTGTGTAACTAGGGGCATTTCGACAGTGTTCCCATGGTGATGGCATTTGGAATTCTTTTGAAAGTCTTTCAAACCAATTACGAAGGCCGACTGCAAAATCCAGAACCATATTAGATCATTTTAAAGAGGTTTGAATGGCTCGGGAATAGGAAAGGCTGTGTGTCAGCTCTTTGAGCTGCCCATTTTATAGTGAATGAGCTGTTATGAAGGTCAGGGGCCACTGGGATTGGTCGTCCTTGGTCTTCATAACTTCTTAGATACATTTAGCTCCATTCACTAAACAGAATTGCATTATAATTCGTTGTCCCAAACAGGTTTTAGCAGCCCCTACATATCTAAACAACTACATATCAAGCAAAAAAAAAAATAATAATAATTTTGTGTACTCATGGCCCTTTAAAGCAAGTCGCAGCCCCATGAGCTACACAAAAATTCATCTTTTTTTTTTTAAATACTCATCTCATAAATTAAAAATTCCCTAGATACAAGACAATGCCCAAGCTGTCCACAGCCCTGCGATAAAACAAACGAAAACTGTTCCATGGGGAGAGACATTGCTGTAAAATCGCAAAACTTCACATTATATGAAGAAAAGAACTGAAAGATGTAAATGTGTGTTCAAATCAAGTGACATTTTGCTTTTCTAAATAACGCTGTGTTAGCCAAAGAGGATAATGATCTCTTTGAAAGGATTACATTAGAGATTAATATATTTTTATATCTATGGGGGAAAAAACAAGACCTTGTGCAACATTTTTACAGATTCTTAAATCGTGGAAATCTTTGGACACACCGCATGGCTTTTATTTTCAGAGTTTTCAACTTTGGGGAGAGAGGGCCAGTCTGCGGTGTAAGGGAGGGGATCGGAGGGTTGGGGACTAAGACTTACATGCAGTGAAACCATTTCATTTTCAAAAATACAAAAAAAAACGAGAGAAACATATGAAACATTTAAAAAAGAATCAGCAGATAGGTACATGTATGCATTACGCAGGAAAAACGATGTTACCGTTTCTCTAAAGTGATGAAAAAAATCAAGTGTTGCTTCAATGGCGGTGCAGTGAAGCTCGAAAAGGCGTCACATCAAACACCCAGAGCATCTCATCTTGTATTGGCAAAAACAAAAAAGAAAAATCACCTTAACGCTTCAGCATGTTCAGTGCACCAAAAAAAGTTGAAAATTGACATAATATAATGTAGCTGCACTTATCAATGTAATCAATTCTCACACAATAATCCATATATTCACCAGTATGTCAACACAACAAGCAAATGTCTATCATTGTACGGTCTAGATTTTTTTCGTTTTTGTTTAATTTCCGCTCCACATATCTTCTGTATTCCACCATCATATCGTCGACACCTAATTTTGCTCCTTTGCACAAGCACTAACCAACCAAGGGATCTTAGCTTTGTCACTGATGAAGGGAAACAAGTGTGTGACCGCACACACATATACACTTACACTTACACACAACACATATCAAAGTGTCTAAGCCTTCAACAAAATTCCCATTGTATCAAAACTGTGATACACCTTGAACTAACCCCTCTCAGCTTACACCACATTAACATCGCAACACATTTTTCTTTCGCTAACGCTAACGCAACTTATCCTGGAACTCATCGGTGGTGTGCCCTAAAGGGGACAAACATCCTAGACGTAAAGATTGGTCCACTCTCTAAATGAGCGATGGGGTAGATACAGTGACCAGGGCAACCCTGTAGTGCACCTGGTGACCATAGGGAGGTTTTAGCATCATCCCTCTGGCTGAGTGTCCCAACGAACTCTTTAGCTACACCACTCCCCCATCCCCTCAGAGAGCCAATGACAATGGCAGGAAACAAACATAGGCTACTGCACCGCTTGAGCAACTACAATAATAATCATTAAAAAAAAAGACAAAAAAAATAACAAACCTTTCCTATGGAACAGTAAGTGCAATGTGCTTCGTTTTTATATTGACTGAGAACAAAAAATATATATATTTTTTAAAAAAGAAATTAAACCTCACACTGAAATGGTTTGCAGAATAGTGAAAGGATCTAATGTAATGAACAACAACAAAATGAAAAAAGTGTTAACTAACAGATTCATTAGGAGAATCAAACAAGCACCAAGCGCTCTGGTCTCTAAAAATGTCCATTATCTCTTCCTCCGCCCCCTTATCAGTGCTCTGACCATGCAAGCTAAAACAAACAGCCATCTATGGTAGCGAAAAGAGCAATTCTAAAAGACCGTGAATGGAATACTGTCTAAAATTTCATCGGTTTTAGCCCATGTTGATTTCAGAATATCGTTTTTCCTGTAATTTATTGATTTACTTTACATATCAGAATCACACGTTAACTTAGCGTATTTGTGTTGTTGATGTTGCCATAGAGGACACACGTGGGTCGAATATTTTGTTTTGGTTCCTTTTATTGGGTACGATTTCTTGTATTTGTTTCCATTATTTATAATTAGTTGCTGTTCTTACAGTGTATGCAGGTTTTAGAATTAGTTAGAATTATTTATTTTCAATCAAAATGTGTTTAATTGTGTTTGTAAAAGTCTGTGGTAGCTTTTGTTGCAACATAAATAATTTAAACTGAAAAAAATATCAATATAGCGCCAATGAACTTGTATTATTTGGGCGACTTTAAGCTTGTAGTTTTAACTTATTGTTAACTTAAAAACTATTTATTATCATTATTATGATTATTATTATTGCCTCGTATGAAAGTATGTTTTGTGTATATTTATGGTTTATTTCATTATATTTGCAAGTTTAAATACTTTTCATTTTGCCAAAATGTGGTTACACCTTTTTGTTTTTCTTTAAAGGGAACAAATAGATTAAAAAAAATAAATAAAAAAACAAAACAACAAAAAAAAAACTGCTTTAGAATTACAATTTGGAAAAGTTCTTCATAGGCAAAGAATGCACTGCTATATTAAACTAATTGAAGTGTATAAACATACATGCTGTGTGCTAGATGTTATGCCTTTAATGCCTGTGTTTTGTTTGTCTTGTTAAATGAAAACCTTTTGATTATTTAATCTAATCACAGTCTTGTTTTTCCAGCCACGTTCAGAACCCCATAGCGAGTCAGGGCCCGGGGCGAGGCCTGGGGCAGGGAGGGCAGGTCGAGGCGCGGTCCGGTTTACGGTCTGGACCCGCAGCTAGGCCTTAGGCTCAGCGTCCCTCGCCAAAAACCTCTCACCCGCTGCCATACAGCCATGAAACCAAATGAGAGAGTGGTCTAGAAAATAAAACAGTCAGTGGGAGGGCTAGAGTGCAACGTTTAGCAGACGTGGGCGAAGAAAGCGCAGCGGGGGAGACGGGCCAGGCAAGGCGCTGAGCTAGATAAAGGGGTCAGTGGTCACTCTGTTTCTCAACCAGTTGTATTTTGTGTCAATTAATTTAGGAGGGACACAGAGTTACTTAGCAACGTTCTTCTGAAACCATTTTCCAGGAATAACAGAACAATAACAGAATAAAACAAACGAACAACAATAATAAAAAACAAAAGATCAAAAGCAGAACTCCTGATCTCAGTGTCTGTGTGTCACGAATAAAAAATCTCATACTTCCAAACACGAACAAACAAAGACAAACACATAGCAAAGGGGAAAAAAAATAATAAACCTTTCAGTTTAGTTTAGGATATTTATTACTGGGATTTCAGCTGAAGACGCTTGAGGATTTTTCATGGAATTGTTTAATTATTTGTACTTTACATGCCAGAAAAAAAAATAAAAGATATGAATCTCAGTGTTTTCTTTGTGCCTACCTTTTTTTTATTTTTTTGGAGGGGGATTGAAGGGTTTTGTAGACAAACATCACATGCATTCATTCAGGATAAAATGAAATTTCTTCATCCAATGTGATCATGGTCAGTTAAGAAACAGCTTGATATTCCTACAGTAAAGATGTGTAATTATGCACTACTCTAAGCCGTTTTGTAGTATGTGTATAGTGTCAGCAGTGTGTTCACTGAACACTCCAAAATGAAAAAGTGCACTTCAAATAACCGGATGATGCACTTAATTAACTGTTGCAGTCATCCTTACATTACACAGCTGAGGGGAAGAAGCTATTAGAATTCATACACTACACAGTAGAGTAAATAGTATATAAGTGCATACTGAATAGAGCTGGGTAGATTACTTACAAATTGTAGTCCATTACTGATTCCAAATTGAATGACAAAAACTAGGAGTTAGTAACATTGCACATTTCAGGTATAATCCGACTACTTTTGATTACATTTTACCTAACTCGTCCATTACATTGATTTAAATGATAATTTTGTACCATACTGATATAAAAATACAAACAAAAAGAACATTTTATTTGTACCAGTCATTGTTATTATTAACACAAAGTGCATTAAAAATTACATTATGTCAAGGTTTCCCAAACTGGGGTTCATGAGTTTAATGAAAAGCTAGTAATTAATTAAACCATAAAAAAATCTCAAATCAAAATAAATAATTGTAAAATAAAACACTTACTAAAAAAAGATAAAACATTTTATTTGTTTTTAAGCAATGTGTTATTGATTTAAAATGTCAGTGGGTACTTCAAATAAATATATTAGGTGAAAGAGGTTCAGCTGGAAGACTTTCCGAATGCATATAAGCAGTAGGCTATTTTAGAGAGGAAAATATAAAAGATGAAAATGAAGATTTACCGAGAATCAAAAAATTATGAATGATTGTGAATATGTAATCATGTAATAACTGTATAATCATAACTCTAGTCTGATTACGAATATTTGTAATATAATCTAATTACAAGTACTTCATTTTTGGAACCTGATTACATAATCCAGATTACTTGTAGTTACTACCCAGCACTGATATCAAATAGTGCATCATTTGGGACACAACTGAGGTCTTTTTTCAACAAGCCACAAAATTTTTTTTAAATATAAAGATACATTTATTTCAACAGTGCTTAACTTTCACAGTTTTTCTTATGTGTATCTGTAGGCAGACGCTACAGATCTCTGTGCACTAGAACATCTAGGCATAAAAACAGATTTTTCCCCCATGCCATCTCCAGCTTAAACAGCTAACATATGAATCATTACCTGCATTCTGTAATTCATTTCCGTAATTCATTCTACATCCTTAATTATTGCCTCTTTCTCAAGTATTATGTAAATACATATGCATATCTCTTTATTTATACAGTTCTATATAGAGTAAATGATGCACAAATCTGTACATAAATCTACTGTTCCAGATTCATACACATTATTTATTGTTAAGTTTTACTATTTAAATGTATGTATGTATGTACCAGGAGCACCTTAAAAAACCACAACAAATTCCTCGTGTGTTTGCACACCTGGCGAATAAACCTAATTCTGATTCTCATTCTGATGTATGAATGAATGAATGGGGGATGTATATAGCGCTTTATTGTGTATTGCTGTACACCCAAAGCGCTTTACAATCATGTGGGGGGGGTCTCTCCTCAACACTTCTGAACTAAACTTTTAAATTATGAAATTATGAAATTACTAAGAGTAAAATGGGTAATGATAATCACTTAACTTTATGTTTAAAACGCATTTTAACATTCAATACGCCTTAATTGTAACTTATTAGGTTATATTTTTGTTTACACTGAGCAGGAAAATAGTTCTATCCTACACAATTACTCGCTAACAAAGGCTATTCGTCCAATTCAATGCATATTGTACGCATTATTATTTTGTTGTTGTTGTTGAATTAACAAAATCACTGGTAAATAAAACACACCTTAGTATCGATATTTTTTGTTTGAGTATCGATACTTTCGATATTCACGTCAGTATCGATATATCGATACTTTGGAACGATACGCCCATCCCTAACCACCACCAGTGTGCAGCATCCACCTGGATGAGGCGACGGCAGCCACAGGACAACGGTGCCAGTGCGCTCACCACACACCAGCTACAGGTGGAAAAGAGTGATAGAGCCAATTCAATGGATAGAGATTATTAGAAGGCCATGATTGACAAGGGCCAGTGGAGGGAATTTGGCCAGGACACCGGGGTTACACCACTACTCTTTGCGAGAAGTGCCATGGGATTTTTAGTGACCACAGAGTCAGGACCTCGGTTTAACGTCTCATCTGAAGGATGGTGCTTTTTACAGTATAGTGTCCCCATCACTACACTGGGGCATTAGGACCCACACAGACCACAGGGTGAGCACCCCCTGCTGGTCTCACTAACACTTCTTCCAGCAGCAACCTAGTTTTCCCAGGGGGTCTCCTATCTCAACCCTGCTTAGCTTCAGTGGGCAACCAGTCTTGGGCTACAGGGTGATATGGCTTGACTGTGTTATGTAGCCAAACAGAAAGGGCTAACTCTGATGTGTTCACATACTAGACAGTAGAGTACACAGTGCATAGCATATAGTGTAAAATTTGAGACGCAACAATTTTTTTGAAGTTGCATTTATTTCAACATTATCCATGGAATGTAAAGAGATCAGATTTAACCCCAGTAAAAACAACAACAAAAAAACATTAGTTTACCAAACTTAATGCTCTCCCAACGTCCAGCCTCATTTAGCTGATCCAAAACTAATGGAAGAGGTTCTTAAACAGCCTGAACAGGAAATTAAGTTAATGTTCCCACAGAGCAACAACCTACAGACCAGGAGACAGAGGGGGGAGAAAAAGGTTAATATTGATTTGTGACCACACACAAACATTTAATGTGTTTTGAAGAACATAATACACAATGAACTGCACTTTGGGGTCATAAACTGATGATAATGCAGTGTGCATCAGTATGAATGAAAAAGCTGATTTCAGGAAATTTGCAAGCTGGGCTAATCGTAATCTGAAAAAAGTCACAGACTTTTAAGAACTCCAGAACTTTTGTATATAACACCTGAGACATGCACACTTGTTCAAGACAGCTAAAGGTTTTCCAAATTTGATATTAAACAGAATGCGAATGTTGTTGATCATTGGTGCATTCATTGGTGGAACAAATCAATATTAGATCAACATTATATACAGAACTGTCTGCAGTATTAAACCACTGTTTGTTGCAAGTTGCACCTAAATAAAGGCTAACTGAATCTATTAACAAAACAGGCAGTAAACGGGCATCACTATGGCAAAACCCAGATCTCATTAAATTCAAAGTGTGAAAAATGTCAAAACATTTTAGACCCTATGATAATTGATTAATTAAGCCTTGTTTATTTTCTATTAAGAGTGCTTTAAACATCTAAAATAAAGTTTGCATTTATTTTGTGGCACACCATGCCATCAAAAAGCAGAGCGTGGAGTCTAGAGCTCCTCATGGTCATGTGGTGAGAGGTCAGTGTTGGCTGGCTCTTGGCACACTGCAGGAGTGGTGAACTCCATTAGGTATTCACAGCGACTCGGCTCCGATGTCGAGGTCACCACAGTCTCCTTCCCACAAGTCAGTTTCACCTACCACACAAAGATACACTTAGCAGAAAGCTCCCAGCGTGAATGGCACAGTGTAAGTAATGAAAGAGCTGGTACTTACTGTAGTTGATCTGTTTGGACCTTGCCAGCACCCAGTGCCGTGCTCGTATTTCATCAACAAGTACTTATTATTTTCAGGCCCTGACCAACTTCCCCATGTCCTGGAAACATGAGCATCTCTCATTAAAGACTGTCAATAACATAAAATAAAACACTAAAAAAAATGTTAAATCAATAAATGCTAGAAGTGAATTAAGACATTGAGGCAGAACAACATTATAATGGACAGAATGACAAAAGGATATTAATTTTGAGATTTTCTAAAGATCATATTCAGAAGTATTATTAAATGATCAGTGTTTTAAAGATTAACTTTAAATGAG